GAGTTGTGGAGATATAACTGGGAAGGAAAGCAAGAGTAATTCTGGAGTGTTAGTAATATTCTGTTTTACAATCTTAAATGGTAAACATATGATTTACTCACTTTTCTGAGCGATTAAGCATCAATAAAAACATTTTTTAAACATGCAAAAATAACCAGAAAAATTCCGAAGAATAAGGGAACAGTCTATATCTATGGAATTTTACAATGTATTATGTATCTACATTAGTTAAAAAGAATGTGGTATTGGTACAGGAATAGATAATAATAGGAAAAAAGAGCAGGTTCAGAAGTGGACCTAAAATCAAATTTTTATACAATGCATATGTAAAGAGTTACTTGTAATTTTGGTCAGTATTGGATGTCAATAAAGTATTGGGTTGGCGGAAAAGTCATGATGCATGTTTGCAACAGATGGCACTAGTTCATTTTTGGAAGTACTAAAGTCATTCGCATCTATGTTATTGCTATGTCATTTGACAGCTGACAGTTTTAGCTTTATTCTAAAAAAATGAGCGATTTGGTTGAGTTTTGGAGATTTTACAAGTTGAAGATGGAAGACCAAACTGTGCATTTTCACTAAATTTTACTATTTTACTTCCATAAAGGGAAGAACGCGCATCAAGCTTGTGAAAAGTTGCATAAAGTTTATGGTGACAATGCTCTACAAGAACGTCAGTGCCAACGATGGTTCATGAAATTCCATGCTGGTGATTTTGATCTCAACAACGCTCCTCGGTCACGGAGGCCCCCCGAGGTTGATGATGACAAAATAAAGGCATTGATCGAGTCAAACCCACGTGACATGACACAAGAGATTGCAGAGACATTGAACATCCATCATTCAAGCATTCACAACCACCTGAAGAAGCTGGGATACATAAACAAGCTCGATATTTGGGCTCCGCATGAACTCAAAGAAGTTCATTTGATGGCACGTATAAACATCTGCAATATGCTCATTAAATGTGAGGAAAACGATCCTGTTTCAAAACGACTGATAACTGGTGATGAGAAGTGGATTGTTTACAACAGTGTGGTGTGCAAACGATCGTGGTCCCGAAGTGATGATTTACCTCAAACGATATCGAAATCAGACATTCATCAGAGGAAGGTTATGCTTTCAGTGTGGTGGGATTTTAAAGGTGTTGTGTTTTTTGAGCTCCTACCAAGGAACCAAACGATCAATTCGAAGATGAACTGTCGGCAATTGGACAGTTTGAATGAATCCATCGTCCAGAAATGTCCAGAGCTTGTTAATTGTAAAGGAGTTGTGTTCCATCGTGACAATGCAAGACCACACACATTTGATCACCCATCAAAAATTATTGGAGCATGGATGGGATGTGTTGCCACACCCACCATACTCACCTGACCTTGTGCTGTCAGACTTCCAGTTGCTTCGCTCTCTTCAAAACTCCTTGCGTAGTATAACGTTCAATTCAGATGAGGCTCTAAATTAGAACCTTGTTCAGTTTTTTGCCCATAAAGACAGATCCTTCTATGAACGAGGAATTACGAAGCTCACTAAAAGATGGCAAAAGGTTATCAAACAAAACGGGCAATATATCATTGATTGATCTTTGTTCTTTATATAAATAAATGACCTTTGAAAAACATAGACAAAATACGTCATGACTTTTTTGACAACCCAATAAGTGATTAAACATAATTAAAATGCTGAATTATCCAAAGGAAGAAAATCTCTGGAAATAACTGAAATGCCCATCAATAGATGACTGGATAAAGAAATTGTGGTACATTTATACAATGGAGTATTACTCTGCCATAAAAAAATGAAATCTTACCATTAGCAACAACATGGATGGACCTAGCAGATATTAGGCTAAGTGAAATAAGTCAGACTGAGAAAGACAAATACCATATCTCACTTATACGTAAAATCTAAAGAACAGAATAAATGAGCAGACAAAACAGAAATAGACTCATAGATGCGGACGAACAAGCTGGTGTTTGCTACATAGGAGGAGGGTTGGGGGGATGGGTAAGAAAGGTGAAAGGATTAAGTACAAATTGGTAGTCACAAAATAGTCTTGGAGATGAGAAATACAGTATGGGGGAATATAGTCAAGAATGTTGTAAAAACTATGTATGATGTCAGATGGGTACTACCAGACTTATGAGGGAGGTGCGGTGGAATCACTGCATAAATTATATAAATGCCTAACCACTGCACTGTACACCTCAAATTAATATAAATTGATATTGACTATCAATAGTTGCAGGATGTGAAGTACAGCATAGGGAATATAGTCAATGGTATTGTAATAGCTATGTACAGTGTCAGATGGGTAGTAGATTTGTTTGTACACCTGAAACTAATAAAAATAAATAAAAGAGAAAAAAACAAAGGAAGAAAATCTCTAAAACAAATATTTAATACCATCAGTCCCCATGTAAAATGTATAGGACAGATTTCCATTGTATCTCAACAACCAATGGAAAAAAAATGACTTTATCCATATACTTTTTTCCACCTTTAAGGTGAGTAATAGATCAAAACTGGGTGGTGGTGGTGGTAGTGGCAGGGATAACAGACTTGTTACTCACAGAAAAAAGTAAAAATTGACCACACATCATTTTGTTTATCATCTATAATTGAGTCAGAGAGGTGTTTTGTTTTGTTAAACTGGTGCAGGATTATAAAGGAGTTTGTATTATTAAGTGATAGAAACCCTACCTCAAGTCAAAAAGTGGTTTCTTGGTCTCTTTAATTCAAAAGTCTGAGGGACTTTGCCTTGGGAGAGGTTGAATACAGAAGATTAAATGGTGTCATCAGGACATGGCTTCTCCCTCAGATGGCTATTTCCCCTGTGATCACAAGATGGCTAGCAGCAGCTCTCTAAACTGCATGCTACTAAATTCAATACCATGAAAAGTTGGGTGTCTTTGTCCCAACATCCCCTGAAAAGGCCTCATTGTTTTCTTTTGTTTTGTTTTGTTTGCCTTAAATGAATCATACCAAACACACTGAATTTAGCATGCTGGCTGGAGAAATACATGATTTGTGTAGTGTAGTACTAAATCACACATCCCATATCTGAGCTATGGGGCTGAGAGTGGGGAAGGAGATGGACCCCAAAGGGAAATGGAGATGTGACCACCAGGAAGAGGCCTCTAGACTGCAAAATATCCCCTTTTAAGTCCAGTTGGAATGGGGGCAGGAGAAGAGGCCCGATGAATTTAACCTTGGCTTATGTCTATTAATGTTAAAAACTGGATAGCTGCCATGATGTGAATGTTTGTGCCTACCCCTCCCCCCCCCAATTCAGATGTTGAAGCCCTAACCCTCAATGTAATGGTATGCGGAGGTGGGGCATTTGGAGAGTGATTAGGTCATAAGGGTTGAGCCCTCAAGAAGGGGATCGGTGCTCTTATAAGAAGAGACACAAGAAGGATGACCTCTTTGTCCGCTGTTTGAGAATATAGAAAGTAGGCTGCTGTTTGCAAACCAAGAGGAAGGCCCTCACCAGAACCAAATCACCTGGCACCCTGGTGTTGGCCTTCCCAACCTCCAGAGCTGTGAGCAATACATTTCTATTGTTTAAGCTACTCAGTCTATAGTATTTTGTTATGGCAGCCCGAGCAGATTAAGACAGCCAAATCTCACTTCTTGAAAAAGTAAAGATTTAATGAGGTAGAAAATTGTTCCCCATCCCCTATATTTTCCCTTTATATTTTCAAGTTTTCTGTGGCTATCTGGGTGACAGTGTTTGCTGAGATGAGCTGGCCTAGAATGTGAAACGAGTTCTCAAAATAACTGATGATTGCTGCCACTGCACAAAGACCGTCTTGTGCCACAGGAGCTGTATCTTTTCAAATCCTTTCTTTCTATTATTGGTTTTAAATAATGTTTCTGACAAGATTCCATTTTTCTTTCTGTCAACTGTCAGCAAACAGGTATTGGGCATTATTTGTAAGGCTGTAAATACATTACATGGGGGAAAAAATGAGTTCTTAAAAAGCCAAGAGAAGTGCCTACAGAGACATTTACCTAACGTGATATTTACGTAGGTCTGAGAAGGGAGTTTCAGAAAGCTCCAAATGAAACGTGTGGAATGTAAACTAAAGTCTCTTCCAAATCTGCTTCAGCTGCAGCCCCTGGACACATTTCCCTTTTATTTCTAATCTAGAAGTTGGAGAACTTTTTTCTTGGTCAAATCGAATTGTTTAGCTAATGATCTAAGAATAATTCTAGGGAGCACTCGTCAGCATAGATGTTATTACTCCATTCCTCTGACTGAATTAGATGTATCTATTGTGTTCTTGCTGAATAAACTGATCCATGGGATTAATCATCTTCTTTTTACCAGCTAGAAATTCTAGACATTTAATGAATATACCTACATCAATCAACGTAATGAGTCTCATTGTCTGGGGTTTGAAATATACTGATCATTCTAATCTTGAAATATAGTCGACATTCATCCTTATTCCAAGTTTCCAGGTTCATCCCTCCTGCCTGCCTAAAGAAGATAATTTAGCTGAAGCTTTTTTAAATGTGGTTCTTCAGGTTCTGGGAACTCAAATGCACCTAATGGGTAATGTGCAAAAGGGTCTAAACAATCTTTAGTTTGTTTACTACTACACCATAAGCAAATCACATAGTTTCAGTTTCTATAATGGAATTTCTGTCAACCCAGGAGGAATATTCCATGGAGGACCATGCAGGTTAATTTTACCCAAGGGTATCTGCGGCAGCCTTGCATTAGAAAGGAGTGTGGGGTGTTAACATGGTTGCAGCATCTGTCCCTGGGTAGAGAGCCATGGTAGTGTCATCTGGCCTGACAAGACAGGCAGAGGCCCCTGTGCCCCGCCTCCTCCCCACCACACACACCCAGCCCTGAAGCTAAGCACAAGGCCAGTGGGTTGGGCTTCCTAGATACAGGAGGACCATCAGTCATCAAATATAGTTACAGGTTACTAAGTGGAGCAAACCCAAGTCATAATTAATGGTTTTTGGTTTCTGTTTGTTTTCAGTTGTTTGAATTTATGAACTTCTTGGCTGAGAACGTCATCTTCTGCTACATGGGCCTGGCGCTGTTCACATTCCAGAATCATATATTTAATGCTCTTTTTATACTTGGAGCATTTGTATCCTTTGAAATATTAAATATGGGGTGATGAGGGAAGAAAACAAACTACTTACTTTTACTCATTATTCTGTTAAATTGTTCAAGTCATTTCCTCAGGTTTACTGTGGGGCTCAAATTTAAGGCAGATGTGTAATGCCTAGCTAGGAGGGAAAAGAATCCTAAGAAACTGGGCCTTTAGTAAATGCTTATGTTTCCAGATAAGAAGTTTGGGATCTGCTGGGGGAAATAAAGGGGAAAACCTAAAGGAGAATGACATTTTTTGAATATTCACAATATGTTTAAAATTATAAATCATTTCCATAAAAATATGTCAATCCATCCTTTATAAATAAATGTATTTAATCTGCATTAGCAAGTATCAGAAGACAGTCAGGATTATTAATCTTTAAAAATACTTTCATTATAAGATGGTAAAATCTTCTTTCCAGTAAGGACTTTGAAAGTAGGATATATAGAATAAAAATCGGATGAAATTAGCATGATGGATGTGCTTTCAATATTTTAAATATTGTGGATGTGTAAGTTTATTTTAATAAGATAACCCTTTCCTATAAAGAGAATAACAGATAAAATCTAGACATCACTTTTAATGTGAAGGACTTTTCTAGCTCTAGGCCTGGGGTATAGGCCTTCCCAGTGGGAATGGATGTCTGTACACAAGCATACTGAGGTGCTAAGGATGTTCCCACGGACAGTCAGCAGCTGTTATCCTTCTTTCCACTTGGAGAATGGACAGACAGATGCCCCCTCAGCTACAAGCAGGTGCTCTTACAGCCAAGAGAGCGACCCCCCTCTGTAAGCCCCATTCTAACTACGCATTTATGCTTGCCTCCTGTTCTCTCCTCACAGAGCTCTCAGCTGACTCTCCAATTTCACCCCAAAGCTGGAGCTTAGAAGGAAGCTCCCTCCTCACAAATAACTCCATCCCATCTGAGGGGGAACTAAAATAGACGGGCTATTGGGAAAGGAGTTCAGCATGACAAGAGGAGGGTGAAGACGACCACCAATATTTTCATAGATTTAACCTAAAAGTTTGGATTTAGTAAAATGCCCCTGAAAGTGTCAGTTGCATTATACGTTTAGAAAAGCAATCCCTCTCAAAATTAAATCTAGTAGAAGGAAAAAATAAGTGAAGCTTGCTAGAGACGGGGAATATAAACTGATGGTAAGTGAGGTGGTAATCATGAGAGAAGTACATTTATCCTTTCTGAAGTGCTGCTTGAGAAGCTAATGCCGGCCGCTGAATGGTCTCTGCCTCAAATTTTGCAGCAAAATTGAACATAGAGTCAGTCATCAGCAACATAAATGTAATGAGAATATTTACAGTGATTGAAATGGTATTGGGTTAACAATTGTAAACCAAATATAGATTCAAAGAAATGCAGAGTCCTCTATTATTTCTGGAAAGGAACTGACATTGAAAGATGAATTTTGGAAGCAAATTGGACATACGAGTATATGTCTGGACATGTGTATCCCTGTTTTCTGAGTCATAATATAGAGAAACCTAAAGACATAATAATTAAAGCCCGAGAACTTGCCCGCTCACTGCATCACCATTTTCCTCAATGTGTCCCCGTGCCTCTCTCCAGCTAGCAATCTTTGTGGCCAGAGCCTGCAACATATATCCCCTCTCCTTCCTCCTGAATCTGGGCCGAAAACAAAAGATCCCCTGGAACTTTCAGCACATGATGATGTTTTCAGGTATGTGGACTGTATTAGATGTCAGTGCTGCTGTTCTCACACTCTCACAGGACCACAGGACGTGCAAAACCACGAGAAGGCTTGGAGGCCTTCTGGGGAAGTGCAATTTCTCTTTACCCCATTGTTCCTAGCACCTTGCTGATACTCTGTAAACTCTGAGCAACAGTGAGATTCCTCTTTCCAGAAGGAAAATGAGATTAAAGGAAATCTTGTTGGGATGGCCTCAAGGTACAGTATCTGTTAGAAAATGGCCTGGAGCCGGTATTGGACTTTTCCCTGACCTATTTCAGATCAGTTTTCATATTGGGGAATTTGCATGATCATGAAGGTAAGTAGTCTGTAAATGGTGCCATCCTTGTCCAGTGTTAAGGCTCCTTCTTCTTAAGTATGCTAAGCTCCAGCAGCTTCTCATGGTTAACACAAAAGCAGATCATGTCTAAGTATGCTCAGTTATTAGTGAAGAAAACAAGTATTAATTGCACACTCCACAAGTGCCAAGAGCAGTTCCAGGCACTGGGGGATGAAATTGACAAAGTCTCTGCTCTCGGGAAGCTTATGTTCTACATGCTTAAACCATTCCTGAAGCCTCCTTTTCTGAAAGGAAGTAAACCAAATGAATCTGTTGACCCTGAACCACTTTGGGCATTGTGGTTTCTTTCTATTCAGTTAACATCCCCAACATTAGTCTTTCCTGCTCGGAGACCTTTCCCCTTATATGTCTTCTGTGTGTGTATCCACTTACATCAACTTAGAGGCTGTTCATGAGGAGATATGTAAGAGCAAAATAAACAAAGAAACTTCTCTCAGGATAGAGCAAACAAAGAAAATTTGGGGTTTACAGGAGGACACTGAAAAAAGTGAGAGAAACTATCGTTTATTGAATATCTACTATTTGCTACTCACTATAGATCAATCCTATGACATAGATATTAACCCATTTTTCAGGTGGAGGAACTGATGTTCAAGATCTCAAAGAGGTTAAGTAACTTGGCTAAGGACTCAATCATTCCTGAACTAAGTGGGCCTGTGAGACTCCACTTTAAACCCAACCAAGGGTCTGAAAATGCACATTTTTAGAAGTAGTATTAGGAATAAAAGCCTTGTTTCACTTTCAGTTTCATTTTAGCCTGTTCCACACAATGAAGGGTGGCAGCTCCCAGGTTGAGAATGAGGTGTTTAATAAAGACCAGGCAAATGGAGATCCAGAGTTAAAAGCTGTCCTTCTGGAGGCCATGGTAGTGCTTCCCTATTTTCCAGACACGCCAGAGTGAGAGTCATGAAGAGAAGTTGGACTGACAGGTGGCCTTTCACCTAGAGCAGCAATGAACTTTGGTGATGAGCTCACTTCTTCTATGGGAAAGCAAAACCGCAGATTTGTTCCCTTATAAATAGGAAGTTAGCACAGGGTTGTGTTTCTGAAAAGCATTTCTAGGAGGTGGAAAGTACTCTGCCTTCTCTCCCATGAAAACATCAGTAGTTTTATTCTGGAGAGTAATGGCTTATTTTTAAAACTGGATATTCTATTTTAAACACTGTTTTACTTTACAAAGAATACTTTGAGGAAAGTGTAGGGTTTTAGATAGCCATATCGAGATGTGAAGTATCTGCCCGAATGGCCACCTGGCTTGGTGATTTCTCCAGGGTTGGGTCTCTTCTGTGTTCGCTTAGCTATAGAATTGGGGCTGCTTTAAAAACTGAGGCCAATAATAAGGTGTGTACAATCGGGGGACTTGAGGAAGCCTGGAATTTGATGATATCTTTATGATATTCTAAAGCAGGAGTCAGCAAACTATGGACTTTCAACCGATTCTAGCCCGTGCCACTTTTGTAAATAAAGTTGAAACACAGGTAGACCCCTTCTTTTACACATTGTCCATGGCTGCTTTTGCACTAGAGGAACAGAGTTGAGTTTGTTGTAACAGAAACCATATGGTCCACAAAACCTAAAAAATTTACTTTGTTGCCCTGTTCTAAAGCATCTTCACTCTCTAGAAGGAAAAGAATAACCCCATCCCATTAACGAGGTTAACATTATTAGTTTGAGTGGTATGCTATTCAGCTACTTCTATCTTTAAAAAGACCATCATGCCAAAATTTCAGGGCACTTACGTACATATGACTATGATGTTCAGAGAATGACACCCATTGTCTTCCACGTTGAGCATCGATGCCATCTGCCAGTCATCGAGTCACAGACAGTTAGCAGTTTAGCAGCGTAGCCTCCAGGCCACAGTCATGTTGGGCCAAAATGAGCTTCTGTTTATAGATTTGATTGGATTTTGTACACTTTTCACATTGAAATGAATCTGAACAACAAAGAGTTGGGGTTACTTCTTCATATTTTTTTGTAAATTATTGTTATTGTGAAACACATTTTTTAGATTAGTTTCAGCTGTACAACACAGTGCACTAGCTATACTTTTTACCCCTCGAGGTGACAATCCCCTTCCCCCAATCTGCCACCCCACTTCCCAACCCAATATCACACATATCTATTACAATTGCCTTGACTCCACTCCCACACTATACTCCACGTCCCATGACTATATATACATATATATATATATATATATATATATATAT